GCGTGGCGGGGTGGCGGCCGAGCCAGAGGTCCCTGCGGCGGCCGGTCCCTCGCCGGGGGCTCTGACAGCGGGACGTGGCTTGCCTTGGGGTAGCAGCGAGGGGTGACAAGGCCGGGGAGGTGTTGGGGTGCCCGGTGTGGGCCCAGAAGCGAGGTGAGGTGGGTCGGTAGGCCACCTCATGCAGGGTCTCCGGGCTGTCCCCTTCGCCTCCTTCCCGCAGCAGCAGCAGGGAGAGCAAGAAAAAGCCTATGTAGCCTCTGCCTTGGCAGCTCCAGCTGATGAAATGCCCTCAAAAGGTTGCTCGGCTTTGTGCAGGTTGCACGGTTGATGGTAATAACGCTTCCAGGGATGGCTTAGATTAACTGCGGGGTCGTTCTTACTCCTTAGCCCTCTTCCAGGGTTGTTTTTCCAGAAAAAGCAACTTAAATTTTTCAGGTCAGTTGCCAGAATCTGTGCAGGCTGCTGTGTTTGTGCAGAGATGGAAAAGCACCATATTTTTCTGGAATATGATCTTGTGTTCTCTGGGAGTCAGAGGCTGAGAGTCTGTTGGAATAAAGGGTGACTATTACAAAAGATCAGGAGCGGAATGGTCCGAATAAACTTTCTTCTATCGTGTGAATGTGTAATCCATGGTTTTGTTCTGCAACAACCAGTTAATGGAAAAGCAGTGTATCAACAGGGGAAGGATAGGTTGCCTGTACAAGAACTTGGTTTTCTTCCATATACTTACCAATGTCTAATACTTGTATATCACTTATTTTTGACTGGTGTGTTAGGATTGAAGTCGTTCTAGACAAATACGCTGAGCATTTTACGTGTTGCAAACTTGTGGCCTCTTACGTCATACCCGCTCTAGCAGGCAATCCTGATGTTCTGCTTGTCCTGAAGACCTTTCACGAATACTTTTAAAATAAATGAGTGAAAGACCAGGATAGTGTGTGTGGAGGATACCTGCTTGTATTCTTAGTACCCTTTAGCATAGGGTATGAGAGCATCTGAAATGCCTCGACAGCTGGCACTTACGTATCTGTTTCTTGTGCTATATTCTGAGCAAAACAGGTAATACTTGAAAGGTTCTTGCTTCACATGTGTGTTTTGCTGAGTCTCCACTCATAGGCTCATAGCCTTCTTTCAGCAGTCGGCGGTAGTGACAATAAGTCTCCGGCAACGTGTACCTATCCTGTAAATTATTGCTTTGGTTGTGGGGTCTCTTTGGTCTGTTATCCTCCCCCCCCCCCATTTTAACTGATTTATGATAGGAGCGAGAGTCCAAAAAGGCACAAGATGGCCTTGGCTATAACGGCAAATTCTAGATACGTGGTTGTCTTTTATCTGTCCCTCTGGTCTAAAGTGACTATTGCCTATATCTTTTTTTTGTTGTTTTTCTTTTTCCCTTGTATTCTTTTTTTTTTTTTTCTTGTATGTTTGCGGTATTCTCTTACCCTTTTGTCTATTCATTGGTGTTTGCAGTGTCATTTGTTCTAGTACTTGGTTTTGGTGCATGTTTCATTCGTGAAGCATCATTTTTTAGTTGCCTGCCACACTGTCTCATAGTCTCCAATTGGTTTTCAGCAGATGGTTGCTGAAGTTACTGGCTTACTAGCCTGACTTCATTGTGTGTTTCGGTACCTTTCATGGGTAAGCCTTACTGGCTTACTGCTTGCTTGGGTTTCAGAATGGCGAATATGAATGCCCATGCACAGAATTATGAGAAATGCCATTCTCTTAAATGGCGGAGAATTAATGAAGACATTTTTATGACCATACTCTCAAAGGAGAAGTTTGTTTGCCATGATGGCTTAGCTACTCATATGTGTATGCATTGCTTCTATTAGCCCAATATCAGACCGTCCTTACCAGTGAAATAAATCTTACTGTCTGCTGTTGTAATGTTGAACTGTTAGGTACTTCAGGTGTTGCATAGCCCGTAGTGAAAGTCTTAGAAAAATGATATGATAGTACAGAAAACAGACTTCTCCAATTGAAGGGGTTGTTCCTGTTTGGGTTGGCTTTTGAAGCCTGAACCTGGAACACCGTATACAGGGATCAGTTTATGAAGAAAAAATCATCAGTGCTACCTCTTGCAGGTAGCTGGCACATGTCTCGGCTCATCTTCATTTTCTGGGTGTGCTTGTAGTTTATGGAACAGTATTGGAGTGTTGAGCAACTTAGATATTTTCCTTCCACTGTGTGGTGGGAGAGGCAGGGAGTTGTATTAAAAACAAAACTGTAAAATGTGTCTTATAAATTTTGGAAGCTTGTGAGTTAGATTGCTATCAAATTCTGCAGATTTAGCTACTTTTGGAACAGCATAATGTCATAATGTAGTTTATCAAGTTAATGGTGATTATTTTAATCACTCAGATTCCCCCCCCCAAAAAAAAAAACTAGTGCTTCATTATTCTTAGATGCTCCAAGATTTAACTGTAAGAAATAATCTCAAATTAAATAATTAAGGATACAGTTTTTAACAAGTGTTTCAATATCCTGCAAGATTAGAAGTTGCCTTTGCTTGGAATTGTGCTTAAAATCTTGGAGATTTGCGTATGAATTGCTGCAATGATTTTAGGGTTCAAGTTGAGCATGCGTAAAGAGAAATGAAACACCAAAACCTTCTTAAGTGTAGTATAAGTTTAACTTTCTGCAAAAAACCAAACTTTCCGTTGGTAATTTTTTATTATTTTTTTTAGGGAGTGTCCTTATGCTTTGGTTGAAATAGTTTTGCTCAAAGTACTACAAGCTGCAGCCATAATTAGGAAGTAGGTCATAGCTAATTTGTCACTGTATTTGACCATAAGTATTCATCTTTGCTCCTAGAGGAGTGTTTAAAAGGGGGAGGGGGAAGAAGAATAAATGTAATTTGTTTCTAGGTTATTTGGTTAGTTTGGGAGGGATTATCACGTAGCAAAATTGAAACAATCTTTTTTGTCACTATTGTGGAAACAGTAATTTTAACTCATGCCCTGGTTTTAATAGATTAAATGTTCATTTTTAGTGACTTTTCTCCCCACATGTAATCTGTGTAAGTTTGTTGTTTGGTTGTTTTTTTTAAAATAAAAGATGATAACATGACTTTACATAAAAGGGGAATAAAGCAAATATATGTATGGAGTGCTGAAAAATTAGTTTCTTTCATAGCTTTAGATTTTTGAAGATTGATCTGACAGTCTCTATAGGTCCTGTGGCTTGTTGGCTGAACTGTTTTCTCTAGTACCTGTCAAACCTAAATGTTTCTCAAGTCTGTTTTAGAAAATAATAAAGCAGTAGAGCTTAAATGAGAAGAATAAAAGCTGTAAGCATTTTAATAGGTTACTATTTTATTTCAGTTGAAGTTATTATGTATGGGGGTGAAGTTGATGGGTCTTCCATTTCTGTCCCTAATGACCTCGATCTTCCATAGCTGCTCTGGGATTTAAGGGCTCAAACTCTGGCACAGACTTAGGTCTTCTGTTACTGAGTCCCTGTTCAGCAGGTCAGCAGGTAGGAAAACATTGATCTGCCTTGAAGTGTCATTGCTGTTGGGCTATTTGTAATGACATTTAGTAATCTTGCACGGCATTGTCTTAGTTTTCTATGGGTTCACTCTTGAATTCTTGCAACTAACCTGACCGCCGCTCATGTGTTTGTAAAATTGAGCATAATTTAGTTAGCGCCTGATGCTGTAAACTGGAAGTATGGTTTTGTTAACAACATAAATAGTCCTGAAACAATTTCCTCTAACAGTTTTATTAAATTAGATTCGTAATGGTACCAGCTCCTGCACACCAAAGTGTTACACAGAGGCGTTAGCGGTGAAATTGCTTTAAGTGCTCACGCCACGTGTCCCAGTCATACTTGCGATGTAGTGCATGAATTTAAGTGGCCTTTCACCTCTGGTTTCATAGCAATGAATTGGCTGGAAACCGTTCTTCAGTGGCAGCTCTGCACCGCGAGGTACGCTGCTGTACGGAAGGAAAGATTGCGCAACAACAAAGTGGGTTGTGCAACAAGTTGCCAGGGGAGACGTGCCCTAGCTGATTTCCAAAGAAAAATACGATGGAGATGAAATACGATATGATTAAAATAATCCAGGCTTTGGGTGGTGTGTTGCTTTTAGTATAGTAGAAGTAGGTGTTGGTTGCGAGTACAGAACGATCTTTTGTGCAAGTATAGAAGAGCCTGAGGCCCTGGGTTTGTTCCTGATACCAGTCAGCACTTCCTATGGGCAACTCTGTTGCCTAAAATAGTTCAATGAAATGGATGTGGTACTGAAGCACCAGTATACATTTGAATGGTCTTTTGGATGACAGCCAAACCTCTTTCACTAGGTAAAAATGTATTCAGGTAACTTAATATAGAGGACAGTGTTAAGATAGTGAAAGAATCAAGGAGGACTTTGATTCCCTGTGTAAAATCACAGATTGTGAATAACTTTTTGTAGGTGAAAAGTATTGTCTTGGCCTCTTTGTAGACGTTTTTCTCTGAGGTTCAACCTTCTACCTATGCCAAGCTGTCAAAATAAAATGTATTGTTCGACATCGATGTTGTACAAGATGCAGTGCTAGTAAAGAGCTAAGTGCCATGAATGAGCAACAGTGTTTTCAGGTATTGCCTGGAATAATGTTTTTCAAGAAAAATGTATTAAAAGTATTGCAGAACACGCTAAATGTCTGTAAATGTCAAGTCCAGCATCCTGATAAGTGATTTCTTCTCACTTGAGGGTGTTTGTCTTTTCTCCAGTTCTATAGAAGACGTTTACATGCTTTTGCCTCTTTACGCTCTGGTAGCGATGCAGAGCACGGGTTAACAAGTCAATGTGTTTCATACGTGAAGATTGTATGTTTATTTTATACGTACTTAACATATTTCAAAAGCTATTTAAAATGATCAGGCTCGTTTTCCTTCTGCTGTGACTTGAAGACTATTCTGTAGTGTAACTGTAGACTTATTTTTCCAGATCAAAGTATTTTAGAACATGTTCAACAGGAGAACACTTCACTATAGAGGTGAGTGCTTACGTTTCTAGTAATTAAAACAAAAAAGTGAAAAAAGCTGAATTTTAGCAATACCTTTAACATTTTTTGCAGTTTACGTACACTGAAATATTCTGGGTTATTCCAGACCAAATTCATGCTGCACTGGGTGGCAAGAGAGTGGTTCTTATATACCTCAGACCATTCATACATTATCTCCCTTTAATCTATCATTTGGAAAGAAGTATCTGTTGTAGTCTGATACTCAGCACCAGAGCATTCTAAAGTCTGCCTATTGCATCTTTCATAACTGCTGTGCTGGGAGTGATTTTTCTTTTCTGCTTGTGTAAACGCAGGATGTTTAGCTCTTGATTGTGGGATCGTGAATCCGATTCTACAAAAAGCTAGAATCTGATGAGGTTACTTTATAGTTAGTTGCATGTGTAGCCCACTTCGTTCACGGCCGCTGAATATCATGCCTTTTTGCCAAGGGTAGCGTAAGGTTAATTTGTATGAGATTCTCAGAATAACCTGGTTTACTTTCTCTGAGTGTTCCTTATGGTCTAAAAGTCCTAGACCTTTCAGATTGCCCCCGTTACTGAGAATAACATTAATAACTGTGATAGCTGCTTTGGCTTTCAAGAAAGGGGGCAGACGTATATGGTGGGGAAATCCGTTTTGGCACACAACTTCCAGTTGTGAGAGAGGGTTCCTGCAGTAGAAATATGATAGGGAAAAGAAGGTTCTGTCCTCCTCCCGGATTGTTGTTCATATTCTGCTTACAGCAATTAGTCGGTATACAGGTCAATAAGGAGTCTTGCTGTCGGTACTGACCTCCATGTCTGATGTATTGACTACATGTAAGATGACGATACTGAACATAGTATGGAGAATTTCCATTTTGATTTGTTTTTATGTGATAGTTGAACTTCTGCTGGTTGAGTTTGTGCAGCTTGGAATGCCCCGTGTATTCTTGCCCTGTTCGGGCTTTTTTTTGGCTTCCTATGATTCAGCTTTACATTACCTTTATTGACCTTTAGTTTCTTACGTGCAAAGCTGGGAGAGGGGCTGCTGTTGCTTGTTTGTTTTTAGAATTCTGGGTAGAAAGTCACTCTGTTTTCTGTGTATTAAATACATCTCCAAGTACTTTTTGATAAGCATCACAGTTGCCATGCGAGGTAGAGGTTGCATGCACTATACCCCTTACATCTTCTGCGTTTTTAAATTGAGCGGGTGCTTTGGTGTATGTCAGAGCCACACCATTCCTTCCACTGCTTGTATTATAATGCTTCAGAGGCACAGAATTATTAGCGCTCCTATAAGCTAATGAGATTTCATTTTTATCAGGGCCCTCACATAAATTGTAGTGAAATACATGAGGGTTTGCTTGTTTTTTTTTTTTTTTTAATTTTGACTCTTCTCCTTTTAGGAGAATGTAATGTTTAAGAAAAGAAACATTGGTAAGAAGATGGGTCCTAGTCTAAAAGTAATACTTTCTCTGAAGGTAGGGGCTTTCATAAATGGTATTGCAGTCCCACTGTTATCATTGGAATAGTGTTTTTACAAGACAGATGGAATATGCAATCACGTTTCCTGTGTGTGTTTAGTGACTTGTTATATTGAATTGTAAAGATCGTTTACTTCTTTTTCTTTGCAGTTTGAGAACCTGGTGGAAAGTGATGAGGTAGGTACCTGGATCAGAATGTGAAACCTGCTAGTACCACCCTTAAAAACAGTTCCAAGATCTGTATCTTCCTCCCACTTTATGCTATGTCGTAGACTTAAATTGCAGAGTTTTTTTACTTGGAGTTTTGCTTGCTCTAGGAATGAATATTTAACACTTTGGGAGAAATGAAGAACTAAGAGAAAACTGGTTGGGGGGGAGTAAGGGAAGTAAACCTTTCAGGAAAAGAGCGCTATGGACATTAGGAGGCAAGAAGAAAAGAAGAAAAAGGGGAAAAACAAAAAGGGGGGGGGGGGGAAAGCTTGAAAGAGAATTTACTCCTGGTGTAACTCTTGTGTAAGACTCAGCAAATGCTCTCTATCCGAGATCATAAATGGACCTGGGTTGCTTTGCTAAGGAAAGTTTTGGGAGTGCTTTGTCTTTACAATTATGGGTAAACTGGCTGAACAGTACTTCAGAAAAAGAGATGTTGGCCTTAAAACTTCACTCTTATAAATTTAATACAGCTTGATGATGGGCAGGGGACACACCACATTTTCAATACCCTGCTCTGAATTTAAACACATGAGGACTGAGAGTTGGGTTCCTGAAATACACCACTGAAATATTTCTTTTCAGTTGGAAGTGCTTGTTTGTTTTACTCAGTCAGCCACTTCAGTTGATTGCGTAACAAGATTTTTTTTTTTTTAATTCCACATTTAAACAGGGGATTTTTTTTCCCTGCTAATTGTGAAACCAATATATGGGAGAATCTATGATTTCATGTTTTTTTTTTCCCATCTTAAAATTGATGGATTGATGGGATTCTCAAAAACTCAGACTTTTTTTTTAATTTTTTTAAACAGGGGGAAAGCCCAGGAAGCAGTCACAGGTAAGACTTTGAGATTCAGGACCTCTCCTTTCGTCTGCTCTCCTCCTGTGACTATTAAATTTTTCAGAGTTCCTGTCAAAACCCTTTCTGTCTTTTTTTGTTGTTAGATACATGGAAAGAATACATGTCAAACTAGCCTTAATGATTTACCACAGCAAAACAGTTTAGATGATGATGCGTCATGCAAAAACTATACAAGACAGTTAAAACAGTATGTTGCAAAGAGAATCTGTATTCTTGTTCCCAGGGCCTGCATTTAAAGTTACATGGGTGTTAGGGCTACAACTCTGGCGAATTTTTTGTGAGCATAATATTTATGTAAGCAGTAGAAACTTGAAGGTCTGCTCTGTAGGAAACTTAGGAAGGCACCGAAGTGTATGTTTTGGTTGTTGAATTCTAGACGCTTTGTATTATTTAAGTTTGATGGTTGCCAAAATGTTGTTCCCTGTCAATGGTCCCAAAGAAGCGATATAGCAAACCTTATAATTATTACAATGCTTTTGCAGTCTTGTTTGTTAGATACATAAAAGTAGGCAGCAGACGAAAGGGGAACAATTTACAATTAGGGGACCAAGATAAGTAAGAAAAAAAGTGAGATTTACACCGCAATGATATTAGCCATTCTATTCCAGTAGTTCTGTTAGCAAACAATGTTATGAAAATGTGTGTTCTATAAAGATACAAAAAATGCTTTGTAAGAGTAAGAAGAGACAGCGTTGTCTTGAGTAAACTGGAACTTTGGAACTCTGTTCTCAGGAGGAGCAGGCCAAAAGCACAGCTTGTTGAATTTGCATTAAAGGACCAGTCAAGAAAGACTATATGGATATGTTTAAGTGCAACTTAGGGTTGTCACGCGTAAATAATAGATGGAGTCTTTTTGTGTTTCTCCCATGCTTTTAGACCTCTGACTGAAGAAGAAATTGCTGACTTGAAAGACAGACATTATGACTCCATTGCTGAAAAGCAGAGAGTTGTTGATATGAAGCTTCAGTCAGAGGTAAGCAGTTAAGACGACTAGTATGGTACGGATAGTTTTTCTTTTGAAGTAGTTAGGATCAACCATAAAGACAAGGAGATTCCATCTGCATGAACGAAACAGTTGGGTTGTGTTCATCAGTTGGTATTTTTTAGTCTACAAGATACACAAACAGATTGCTGCACAACTAAGTTTGCATCAGAGATTGCTTCTTTTTAATAGCCTCTTAGCTAAAAAACTGAACGAATAGGCTGGCTCTCTTGACTGACATCTGTTAAATTTTAACTTTTTAATGTTTTTTTTTATGAAAGGCAAAATGAGGAGTATACTTGATTCGCTTTTCTTGCGCTCAGTTTTTCCAGAGTTTTTCTTAAGGAAAAAAAACCATAATTTGTCATTTTGTTATAGTGTGTTGCAGCAATTAATGGAATACGATGTGGAATACAGCGTAGAAATTGAGAATGATTTGTAATAAAGTACCAATGAAATATGCAACTGAAAAGATTTAAGTCTTTCATTGTGCAGTTCATAATGAAATGCGACGTGCATTTACAGCAAATCACTAGTAATGATGTTGATTCAGTAGGGTAATACTTAGCTATCAAAATTTCTTGGGATGTTTGGTGGGGGGAAGCTGTTAGATTCAGTTAATGAAGAAAAATGTTTTAGCTATAGTCAATTTTATTTTATTTTTATTTTCTAGTAGCTCTTCTTTTGTTTTATTGAACTTATGGCTTTATTCATAGGAAGATAGATAGGTTCTGCTTTTGTTAACCATTATTATTTTGTTCATATACAGTTAGCCTTACAAGAGGAGAAGTTAAGAATAGAAGAGGAGGCTTTATATGCTGCACAACGTGAAGCAGCCAGGGCAGCAAAGCAGAAAAAGCTCTTGGAGGTGAGGGGAAAAAGACCCCAATATATATCAGAGCTTCTGTTCTGTTTCTACGTATGCAGACTTTCCTAATATATATCCTTTACATCTCAGGAAATGTAATGAGGAAATTGCTTTGGCTTGTAAATTCCAGTAGAGAAAGAAATACACGATTTGAAAGTACAGCTGACTGGAACAGCTGAAAACGATCAGAGTTGTTTGAAACAGCTTACGTTGCTGAGTATAGATTTTGAATGAGAGATGTATGATTTTAATCTGTAATTAGCTTAACAGACTTCTTGCATTCTATAGAAGTTACTGATCTTTAACGTAAAGTGATCTGTCATGGTTTTCCAGTAAAAAAAACTGAAATTGAGTACACATGATGACATCATTTAGACTTGTAAAATGTACTTCACATATTTGTGCACTTAATTGTTCCTTACCTCTGTGGTTTGTGTTATCGTGAAGATACGCGTTCCCAAGTCATCTGAATTCCCTGTTGACCCTGCTTTGAGCAGGAGGTTGGACTAGATGACCTCCTGAGGTCCTTTCCAAGCTGAATTGTTCTATCATTTTGTGCTTTGTATGTGCAGTAGCCAAAGTCCAGTAATGACTTAACAGTAGTCTTTATTTAATGTATCTGTGCCTACTTTCAGGTGTCTGGTGTCCGTGCTTTTGGAGCTTGGTCAAGCAGAACAAAAGCCATGTTAGGTTTTCCTGCTTTTTTGAAAACAGAGGCTGTTTTTAGTATACCAATAGCATTTATTACCGATGGTTTTCATGTTGCAGTTCAAAGAGTTACATATTATCAGTGCATTTAATTTTCTTGCTGTCTTAATCAGCTATTCAAGTATGTGTTCTCAAGCCAATTTCAGGTTCCAGAAATGTGTATGTTAAAAGAACATGTTCACATTTTCTGTTCATCTATAATGTGTACGGCTGCAGTTGTAGCATGTTGAAGGAGACAGTCCACTAGACATGTGGTACCTGTTGAATGAGAAGTAAATTTTCAAAAGTTCAGATTTAGACTAACTGAAAAAGTCTGAAATCTACCATAGGTATAGGGGAGATCTTTAGCCGTAGTGTATTGTCTATATTCAAAAGAGAGTGAATTTAAAATTGTTATTTCCAGACTGATAGTGATGACTGCGTTTTCATCTAATATTGATGTCGCTAAGCATAGGTCTCATTTCACATTTTTTTCTATCCTCTTGCCATTTGGTATGGGAGGGTTAATTCCTTCTGACCTTTTTTTGCCTGCCCTTTTTTAACACTTCTGGTCTGTATAAAGTCAGCAAAAGTATTTTTTTTATGGCTTTAACTGGTTTTTGTAGAAGTTCTGTGCAAGAAATGTTATTTTTGTTGTCTTTGAGTCTTTTTAATGTGCACTTCTTTTAGTCGGGACCTAAGATAGAAGGCATTATAGAGATTTTAACTTTCTCCTCTCGTAAAATTAGTACCACTTATCTCCTTTACAAACAACCCCCCCCAAAACCCAGAAGGATTATAAGGCTTTCTAAGGAAGCATATAGATATGCATCAAGCATTTAACCTTTCTAAATTAGAAGCCACGCTTGAATATGTAACTCATCTCTCTGCTCTTTGTGGGCAGAAGTCTTCTAAATGAGAAAATGGCTTTTTCATTGCAAGTATGGCACCCCTTTAAAACTGATTTGGCTTGCTGATGTTGCCCTACTAAATGTCAGGGTATGTAACAGCGGAGAATTTTAATATATGCGTATCCTGAAACTTACAGTGCTAGATATCTGTATGTGACCTGGCAAAATGGGTAGATAATTTAAATTGGATATTATGTGGGTATTTGAATCTTAAAAGAAAATTGTTGCGTATGTCAGTAATTGTTTTTTTACAGAGTTAACTATGTTGGTGCCAAATTCCTGTCTCTTTCTCCCTGTGGACTTAAGTCTTCTCACCTATAACCACCATTACGAGATATTTCTACTTCTTCAACACTTGCCATTTCCTTACTGGCTTCAATCTGCGTATTCTGATACTTATTTAAATACCCGAGACGGAAAATGCGCCAAGAAACGAAGCCATCATCGTCTTGGGACTGAAAAATACTAGCTGATCCAATGCAGTTACCTCACAAGGCTAATTACCCAGCAAATGGCAATTCTTAGATGAAGCTAAAGGGGACATTAAAAATTCTGGTTTATTTACCCCTGCTTTTCTTTTGCAGGGACAGATCCGTTAAGGCTGAGAATAGATTCCCCCCCCCCAGAAAACAGAGTAGCTAGATACATCAGACTTGTCTATAAAACTAGCTCGTTCATTTTTATCCTAGTCTTTGTCATAATCAGTGAACAATTACTGCTTCATAACTGATTTACCTTTAATCACGTAGTTGATGTGCCCGGTTTTTATGCTCTCATTTTTTTCAAGGCAGGGAAAAGAAACTTGAGACAACTTAAGTTGTTTAAACCCTAAGACTGAAGCAGAACCCTGCTCCCATGACATCTGTTGTTCGTCTTGTAACTACAAAATCAATGCATTTATGGCTTGTCTCTTGCATTTTTCATTCTGTTTTTGCCTAGTGATACCATGAAAGCTTTCTGCCTTAAGGGTGCGGCGGTATTAATACTTTTGGCCCTGCAAGGCAACAAAGCTTTTATTAATATAAATGAAGCACTTAGTGCTGATACGGAAAACCAGAGGGGAGGCAGTATAGCTTTGTACAGGGATAGAAGGACCGGTAGGAGATCTTTCTTTTTAAATGGTGGGGTGTCTGTTGTTGCGCACAGAGCAAAACAAATCAAACGTAACCCAGGTGTTAGTTGTGCAATGAAAATACCCGTGGCTGAAAAAGAGAAGACAATAGAGGACAGGTGCAATTATGAATGAGGTGGTGTTCACATGTTTCTAGACAAATTGATGCCTTTTTTTTGGTGCATGAAATAGGTTAAAATGTTGAGAGCTCTATTCACAAAGCTACCTTCTTTTAAATGGAGGTTTCTGAGATTAAAAACAGTATCACTTGCATGTAACGGTCCCTTCAATATCGTAAAATTTGATCTTTATTTGAATGCAAGTCAGTCTTTTCCTGAGTTGGACTTAGGCTGCTCCAAGGATGAGGATAATCCTCCTTCTAATGTCGCAGTTAAGGGAATGTTTACTGTATTGAGTATATTACTCCGAGGGATTGCATTCAGCTTTTTCAACAATTTACTTCTTTTGATAGCAACGTAGACAGCAAAGAATAACACAGAGAGCACATGCTGTTAATAATGGAGAATATCAGAGGTAAGATATCAAACTTTATTAATAGATAATTGAGAAGCATGACCGTTTTTACTCCTGTTCCTCATCTCCCCCTCACGCACACAAAAAAAATGTTTTTCAAACCTTACATACACAGCATTTGTAAGTCAGAGTTGTTTTCATTCATTGCAGCTTTCTACAGACTGAATAGTTACTGAATGTAAACTGGTTGCCGTTAACCTGCAAAATTAGAGGGTAGATTGCATTCATTCTGGTTTTCACTGTAGTTACTAGACTGACGCACACAAAATTGAACCTACTCCCAGCTACTAATACACACACACAGACACACACAATCTAGTGTTTTATATTAAAAAGGTGTTTATAGGTAAAATCTTGGCTAATCTAAAAATATTTTTATTATTCAGAACCCTGTTTGAAATGCCCAATAAAAATACACACTAATCAAATGGGGAATTGAATGGTTTATATAGTCTGCCTGTTTCTTCATTAACGTTATTCATTTAATTCTCTTCACTCCCACCTTCTGTGTTCAGTGTTGGGGGGGGGAACAACCCAAAACTGTCAAAAAAAACCCCAAAGAAATTTACTGTGGAATAGTATTTGATTTTAGAAAAAACTCTAAAATCAAAAACCTGTTTTGAATGGAAGAGAAGGGGGATAGGAGGGACTTTCAGTTAGGGAAGTACTGTTAGAAAGGGAGCTGTGAAAAGTGAGGTTTTATGGCATGAGTAGGAACTAGCCGGATTTTAGAAACAAAGGACTGCAGTAGCAGGATTTGAATTCATTAGGTAAAAAAGGAGTTGCGAATTAAGGAGGCATTATCTAAAGTGACAAGAGATGAGAGGGGAAGAGTTATTTTGTGTCAGAAGTTAATTCATTTTTAGCTGCCAGTACTACTAAAAATGGAGCAGAAGCTTGGGCTGGGAGAGGATGTGATGAGTAGGAATGGAAAGGCATTTTGTAGATCATTTTATGAAGATTTTAGTTAAAGGTGTATGTGCTTTGTAGCGGAGGACTGGGGGGCACGTGGATTAGCGTATCTTTTATGGCATCCCTAGAGGTTTATAAAGCTGAAAAAAATATGTGCGTTGTTCTTACAGCTCTGTGGCAGAGGAAGATCTTGATTCTTTCTTAAGAAATACAAAATTCCAGTATGAAGCTTTTCGAAGTAGTAGTAAGTCTTCCTTTACTTATGCATGTCTTTAAATGTTAAGTGACTCTGAGGAGCACAGAGTGCTATTTCTTTTTCTAGATAAACATCATTTATTTATATTTTTATATATGTATGTGTGTGTATAAAAAATTTGTATATCTGTATAAAAAAAAAAATCTGATAGAAACTTCTTTTCCTCTGTAATCCCTGATGTTTCAACTGTGTGAAAAAACAGAGGATATACAACTTGTGCTGCAGCCATTCCAGTCCTCAAAAGCAAGTTCTGTAAGCAAACAAGTCCTGTGCATGGATTTTATTTTACTAAGGCTTTCCAACCGCCTCTGTGGAGGCAACATCCATGCAGTGAACTTTTCTTGTAAAACCGAACTGTGTATTAAAGATGCAAATGTGTGTGTGTGTAGCTTTTTTTTAATCATCTCTTAGCAAAATAATTAGAATCATACTAACAGTTAATTTTTTTCTAATGAAGCGCAGGAGAGGATTTGGCTGCCTGTATTTAAAAATTCCACTAACAATTTAGAGGAAAACAATTTTATAAACTTAATATCCGTACGTTTTGATGACAGTACATGATAGTCACTAAGAAGTTGGAGGACTGATGGTAATTCTTGGGAACCACTGGCTGTAGTTCGGGGTTCTTGGGGGGGAGGGTTGGTTTGTGGTTTTGTTTTGGTTTTTTTTGCAAGTCTTCATGCAAGTCCAGCTTACAGCTTACTAAATTCCTTTATAGTTCTAATTCGACAGTATTGCTAAATGTCCTCTTGTAATATCTTAGTGACGTTGACTATTAAAAAGCTACAGTCTATTCTGTGAAGTGATGGATGAAGTGCTTTTTCAAATGTTCTGATGTTTAAAGGCCGCAAAGCAGAATAAAAACTTTCTTTGAAAGTTCAGTTTTCCATATCGAACTTCAAATTCAAGTATGTTTATGAATTAAAAATAATTTTTTTGTATGTAGGACTTTCATCTGATGCTACAGTGCTGACTCCCAACACAGAGAGCAGTTGTGACTTAATGACCAAAACAAAATCGACGAGTGGAAATGATGACAGCACTTCACTAGATTTAGAGTGGGAAGATGAAGAAGGTATTTATTCTGCCATTCAGTTTCATTCTGAACTTAAAAATGCTGACAGTTTAAACTACATTGATTGTAAATTTGTCATTTTCAAAAGGGAAGGTGATTAAAAACTTAATTCCGATGGAATTTCTGTCAAGTGTGTAATGATTAAACTGTAAATTATTTTTCCTAGTAAATTGTTTATTTTGATAACTGTGCTTATCTCTCTAACAAATGAATTCATTTCTTCGGATCCTCTAGTAAATGTCTTTTCCTGCATTTTGTGGAACTGACTTGTAAACTCGCAACAAAACTAATGGTAAAGAAATGCTGCCCTCTTGCGAGCCAGTAGCAGAAGGAGCAGCTTGTTCTGTGTTTTAAAATGTGGAAGTTGGTCAGGAGCCTCTGACTGAAGTATTTCGGGAAGCATTGTTTCTTTAAACCCTAATTACTTTTATTGTAACTTCTACCGGAAACTTAGGTCTGCATTCCAAGTGAGTATCCCAACTATCCTAATTGCTCCTGCTGTTTTCTGCTCTCTTGAGTAAATCCGCAAAAGCTCTTGTCTTTGTTTCAAAGTTAATCCAAAATTTTGAGACCTTGGCTCTTGAAAAGCTCACCAAAAATAAGCTAGGATTTCTTTTAGCCAATGCATAGCATATTTTTTTTTTGCTTTAATAGACTGTTTTTTGGCAATCTGTGTAGTTTAATCGTTTAGCACTGTCAAGAGCACTAAAACGTCTGGTTCAGAACCTTGTTTTGAAAGACTTGACTTTGACAGATTTACCCAGAAATACCCAGCATCTTTTTTTAGCTAGTGTGTGCAAGAGCTACAAGCGTTCTAGAGGAACTGAAGCTAGGGCGGGATCATGTATGTTGAAGTACACTGGATTTTACATTGGGAATAATTAGCACCAGTGCAGCAACAGTGTTCGGGGAACTCTGTATTCTACACTGTGCTTAAGAAATGGGAAAATTGCATTCTTTCCTCCTTCACAGAGTTGATTTCCCACTCTTATGTGTTAGCTTAATGTAATAGTTTTCTAAATAACCATCGAAAACCAGATGAGAGCAAGATTCAGTCTTTGCCAGGGATACCTGCACGCAAAATTTTCTTGTTCATTTGACTGGTTGAGGGCCTTGTTGCATACGGGCTTGTATCATCCTTGGTGTTGGGAAATTTAATTCTGTGTATAGAATTAACAGTCTGTGATATTTGCTCTTCATTGTTCTCTTATCACTGTCACATTGACTTACCCATAAGTATTCACCTGGTTTTGAGGTAACTAAATAGTAAGTGCTGAGAAGTACCAAAAACTGCCTAACACCAGAGAACAAAATTACTGCGTAGTTCTGTTTCTGATTCCTACTAGCCTGTGCTCTACAAGGGGGAAGAATTTTTAAGAGTTGGTCGTTGTGATGGCAGTGCATCTCTTCTCCCTCGTAACCTCAAATCTTGAGCAGAAGAGATGGTAAGATAACCTATGGAAGATGGCTTACGCTTGAGAACATAACTTGTTTTCATGGCTGCAAAGGAAGGAATGTCATCATTTGAAAGAAGTACTAGTCAATAGTGCAAGGATTTTGCGTAGTTTTTTAGCACGTTCTTGGTAGATCTGGCCCAACTTAAGTGTATTAAAGCCGACTCCCTGAAAGGGCTCACTGCTTGCTCGGGATAAGAGGTTTAGTTACTGTGTGTGCTGTCAAAATCTGCCACGGAGACTCAACGCCAAAAAAATGTGTGGGGGGGGTTCAGTTATCTGGGGTATTCATTTATGGTCTAGTCATACATTTTTACTGTTCGTAGACAAAGTTGTATGGGGGCTGAACACAAAGTAGAGAAGAACCAGTGTTTTGAAAAGGTACTAGCCTTTGGGAAAAACCAACAAACGAACCAACCAGCTACTCAGTAACAAAAGATGACATTGTGTGACTGAAAAGTTGCCAAATTAGGAGGTTCTTAACAGGGAATGCGTAGATCCTGAACTAGGCGTGATGATGTACTACTAATGGTAGTGTATAATCATTATGTGATGGTAGTACTGAAATGAGATTGCGGATTGGAGCTGTCCCAGCACAGCAGATGCAGAGTTTGTGCCTGGCAATGTTATAGTTTCTAAAGAGGATTACACTGAAAGACAAAGGGTGTGAGGAGAAAATGGAAATGGTAACTGTCCTGGATTAAATACAGGTTTTTTGATACAGTGATTCTGTTTTCATTCTTTGGTGTCATGTACATGACAAGCAACTTGTAGTACTAGTGCTGTGTTGGTATTTTGGGCAGTGTATCTTGGATGGACAACAGCTTCAGTGAGCCGTCGGTACCAAAGGAATAATCAAGTTGAAAATAGCTATGTTTTGAAAGACCCATGAAACATTAGCGTAAAATCGATCATTTGAGTCTGATGGAGAAATGTACCTCTTAGATATCTATTTTTTTCCTGTAGCTCCTTTTCCCCCCCCCCCCCCAAGTTGTGTGTTTCACTTGCAATATGTAACTTTCTAATTATAACAAAGTAGTTGGCTAGTTACTCTAATTTAAAAAGGGAGTTTATTTAGGAATGTACAAGGAGTCTAGTGAAGAAGAGGAGTATCGTAAATTCTCCCCTTTTTCCTTTCCAGTGGTGCGGAAGGGTTTTGATACACCGTGATAAAGTCGATAATAACTGACCAAAGAAATAGCATCTCTGATGTCTTCGTGCAGTTTTCTGACCAATGTTTTGCCTTATGTTCTGTGAAATTAAATATACCTGTTCAGACCAACTGAAGACCTTTCCTAGATAAATGCACCCGATATCTACCGAAATTTTAGCTGCTGTTTAAAATGTTTCACATGATGGTGTTTCATCTGTTTGGCAGTAAGTTGCAGGAGTACTACAGGGTTCCCCAGACATTTAGCTTTTCTGGAAACAGCACAATACCAAAAATCTTGTAATATTTATGTGCCCATAACGTAGGGCAGCAGGCTGCATATATAGGAGAAATGAACACTGCTAGTGAGTTGTTTCACTATGTTGTCTGTCTTCCCTACGACTCTGTAAAACATCATCACTGGCTGTTGTGTTCATTTGGGCCAAAACTGACTGCAAACTATGGATTTAATGGGAACAACACCACCAGAAAAAAAAAACAAAACGGTGATGCTCAGGAGTGGAATTACCAGAGTCTGGATCTCTAAAGGATTCTTGTTGTCTCTTCTGATGTTCTAACACAAACGTAAAGGTACTTCCCTCAAAATTACGTCTTTCTCATAAACATGTCTTAAATCGCAGGCATGAACAGAATGATTCCAATGAGAGAACGCTCCAAAACAGAAGAAGATATACTCCGAGCGGCGCTGAAATTTAATAGCAAGAAGACGGGAAGTAATCCACCTTCAGCCTCTGATGATTCTAATGGATTGGAGTGGGAGAATGACTTTGTTAGCGCTGAAATGGATGATAATGGCAATTCAGAATATGCCGGATTTGTAAACCCTGTATTAGATTTGTCTGCATCAGATGTAAGGATCTCTGATTCTGACCGCCAAGACAGGTAGTGAAACTGCGTGGCCCTCGCTCATGACCAAATGTTGGAAAGTGAAATAGAATGTATGAACGCAATTTGCTCTTTTATAATGTGGTTCCCTTTTTCTTATAAATTGATCAGCAAGGAATGGGAATGACTTGCTATCTGAATTAATTCAGAATTAAGTGCAATTTTATCATCTACCTTCTAAACTTTTACGAAAACTGGGATGATTCTATTGTGTATATTTCTGGATATCTGGATTTAATATAAAATTATCTGCACTAATTTAAGCTGCATAGCTTGACATATCTATATTTTAACGAGCCTTTTTTTCTGGATGATGTTTCTACTGATTTTGTTTTTAAAATCCATCATTGGCTTAACACTTATCTCGGAAACAGTCTTACATAATTTATCTAATACTTGAATATAGAACCATAATTTTAAAAAAAATTTATTTCCGATATGTGCTTTTTGACTTGTTCTTTAGCTATTTAGAGGGCGTATTTAGCCAGCTGCAAAACAAATTTCACACATGGTAAATTGCAGTTTTTCCCTGTTTAGCTTACAGTCTTCCTAGCCTTGTGTTGTCCTCTTTTCCTTTATTTG